CCTCCCACGACTGAAAGCATTTTTTGGAGCATGAAATACTGCGATATCAGCCCTCCCAAAGAGAAAGCACGGCTGAGAAGGAAGCTTTTTGAAAACAGAACTCCACAAAAACAGTCCAGTTAACAAGTAGTCTTTAGCAGGGTGCCAAGACCAATCTCAAGGCTATTTACATTCATTTCCAAATTAGCTATTTGGGGAAGGATTTTCTAAGCCTCAGAAGCTAGACAATGTGAATTAACTAAGGCACGCTCACGTTCACGTGCTTCATTTTCAAAACATTTAAAGTCTCTTATGGGGCTGGTACACAGACGTGCTTCATTCTGCCAAGCTAATCAATGACTGAAAGAGCTCTTCCATGGATCAAAAAGGCAGTGCTTTTCCTGACCAAAGGGATACCAGTAGCAAATTAAGCAGCTTGACCTCTTTATGGGGAAAATGTCACTTGAGAAACAAAAAAATCCACTTGGACATTCCTATTTTTCTAACTAAGAAGACATTTTGCTTGGAATGTTATGATTAGATGGCTAAAAGAAAAACCTGAAGTATTTCAGCTACTGCAGACAAAGGGGAAAATCCATTAGTACATAAAAGCAGCTTAAATTTACTACACTCCTAAAAGAGCCAAAATTGTTTATCAATCTAGATCGTGTGCAATGATGCTATCCTGATGTAATAGAAGGCACCATTAATAAATAAACACTCTCACACTCATGCCAATATAGCCTCTAAAAGAGAAATAACTAAGAGCCGTTTAATTGTCTGCATTACTATCCTCTTTGGTGATTTGTTAAACGCGCACAATGGGTTTTAAAGTCTTTGTTTTGGGATCAACAGATCAATCATCGAGTTACTGCTAGCCGCCCTCAGGCCAGAAGCAGAAAAGTTCCAAATATCCTCCTCCTCTTTCAGGAACAGAGATTAAAGGGGGGGGGGTGGCTGTTGTCCCACCACTGGTTTCTGGAGACAGTTATGCAAAATGACATTGGGCTTCATCCCCTTCATGGAGAGAGACTTAGCCCTTCTGGCTACTTCTGCAGTGTTTCTGCTCCTTATTCGGATGTCTAGTGGACCATGGCTGATACCAACAAGAAAAGCAGGGCCAGACAGGATTAGTACTTGGAATGGAAGGCCACCAAAAACTCAACTTGACTTGAAGGGGACCTTCTCACCTCCTTTAAATAGGACTAAAGTGGTAGAGGCTCTTCCCACTAGAGAAGGCACTGTGCATGGAGTCCTTGGCATAGCCCTGCCTCCAAAGTGACTGAGAGCAGTAGCTCATCTTTGGATCATCTCCAGGACAGAAGGACAGCCAGAAGCTCTTGAAGATGATGTCATCCCAGACATAAGCATTGTTTTCCAGAGAAAACCCTACATAAAAGATCACAAATTCTCTTTGGACCTACTAGCCTTCCTGACCAGGAATTGCTTATGACTCTGTCAGTTCACTAATTAATGAAGTCTTTCCCAATCTGGGACCTTCTGGATGTACTGAGACTTTGACTCTAGAAGCACTCTTGGAGAGACCCAGGTGGAAGAAAGAGATCCGATGAAGAAAGGAAGCTTTGTTAATTCCAATCCTGCGATCCTATACCTTTATGTTAGCTGTACTCAAGACCATTTGAACCCACCACACTGTTGATGAACCCCTCAAGACATTTCCACAAAAGGGAACAACAAATCTTACTCTGCTGCCATCAATTATGGCGACTGGGCCAGAATTCATGGTTCTGGTCTTTCATTCCTCCAGTCACCATTTTCCCCTCTCCATCATCTGTAAATGCTAGCAAATTAGGACAGGATTCATGTATAGCGGTGTTTCTTAAACATTTTTCTCTCACCCCTATCTACTACTAAAAATTACGGAGGATCCCAAAAGAGCTTTTGTTTGTATGAGTTATATTTATCAATATTTACCATATTAAAAATTAAAACTGATGCATTCGCTGCCACCTCCACTTCTCATGTTTGAAGGGATTTTAATATTACATTATTTTTCAGCACATGCTGGCAAATAATTTTGATTTCTCAGACCACTGAGAGGGTCTTGGGGGAGCCCCATGGGTCCTAGGACCACACTTTAAGAAACACTGATCTATGGGATACACTAACATCTTTGATTGTCATGGAAAAACAAGAGTGTCTCAGCCTGCAGAACACTCGGAAGGGGGAAAAGCTAAATCTTCCCTTTATAATCTAGTCAAGGCAATCCCCTGAGCTCCAAGCACTTGAAGGGCTGTTATGCAGAAGACAGGGCAGAAATGTTCAGAATTGTCCCAGAAGACAAGACAAGAAATCAGGGTTTAAGACTACATCAGGAAGAATTTCTTAACGGTAAGAGCTGTTCCATACTGAACAGCCTGTCTTTGGAGGTGCAGACTTCCCTTTGCTGGAGGTGTTTAAACAGAAGATGAGGGCCATCTGCTGGGGTTGCTTTGGTGGTGGGGTTGCACTGGGCAGGGTGTTGAACAAGATCCCTTTCAAACCTAGCATGCTATGATTCACTGATAGTAAGCTCAGAGCAAGCAGTGCAGATACATGGCTTCTTGCACTCAAAAAAAGCATACATTCTTCACTGGCCTCCATGGTTTGGACGCTGCTATGAAGCAGGCAGAAACAGGCATGTCCATTAAGATCCAGGCAAACAGTATCTGAGTTTCTAAAAAAGAAGGATCTGCTTACTTACCGACTTGTTGTTTGAAAGCAGGAATGTAAGCCAACTAGGAAAGGGTTACTGGATGCCTGTTCAAACACATGCTTTTCGGTTTGCACCCAATCAATATCCTGAAAGAGAGTAATTGGAGAATCCAAAGGGATGCTGTAGAACAGGCTGCGGACAAGAAAAGCCAGACACAAACGCAAACACGCACACACACACACACACACTTGCACACATACAAATCCTCTAAAATGTTAATAAACATTCACAAAGACTGTTGGGCTTTGGCAAAGGCTGGAAGTTTTAATCATATTAATATAGATTTTCCCCCCCTTAGAATCCATGATGCTCAACAAGATTAGGCTTGTAATGTGTTGAACCAGCTTCTTACCTCATCATCATGAACTAATTCCTTCTTTACAACTTTCATTGCATAAATTTGATCATTCTTTTTTAACCGCACTAAAAGAACTTTGGCATAGCTTCCTCGCCCAATAACTCTGATCAGATCAAAGTCCTGTAGGCCAAGCCCCTGAGAGATCTTGATCCCATCCATTCCATCAATAACTGGCTTGAGTTCCTATATGAAGAAATATGGAAGACATCACATCATATTTCAGAGAGTTCCAAAAAACACCCACTTTGCAATCAGAAAAGGAGATTGACCCCAACAGTTATAAAACAATTTGAGAAACTACCTGAGTAACTAGAAACCATCTTTGGAATAGAAATTGGTACTGAAGACAGAAGCAAAGTGGGCAACTCTACCAAAGATTTGGGTGAACGTTTCTTCCCTGGGTCATTCCATTGAAAAACATTTATGACCTACTGAGCTCTTTGGGTACAAGTTTAACTTCTAAACTAAGCTTCCTTTGGTACTCTCAGAAGCAGAGATTTCCAAGATTGATGCAGGACATCCCCATTTGGGAAGCTAAAGAAGAGGATCAGGCTGAAAAACACACAATTGTCATGATGCTGACATAGCCTAACAGGCCAGCAATTGTAACCACAGCAGCTAAATCTATTCAGATCTATTCCTGCTTTCTGTCACTTTCTAAGTAGCTATGACATCTCTATAGTTAAATAGAAGCGTGCAAGGCATTCTGTCAGGGCAGCCTGAAGGTTTTCAAAGTCATCCAATTATGAAAGAGGACTTCTCTATGTTTTCCAGAAATAAGCTGATCTTGGAATCGCTTTTGGAATTGCCCTGTTTTGAAGGTGGGCTACTTCAAATTTGGCACAACCCATTTCAAGATCGGCATAATCTGTCAAATCTCTTGCACACCCCCTACCACTGAAGTTCACTATGTTGCCTTCTTTCTGAGCTCTTAGGTATAATTAGTTTTCTAAAAATCGGTGAATCTGGCAAATACCCGCTGTGTTATGAAGTGCAATGGTATGGAATGCACTTATTGAAAATGGAATTCAATACCAGGTCAATACCAACATCACCCAACCCAATCATGTAATTGTGATACTGTGCACAATAGATTCATAATTTTCTAGCTTAATTTATAGTGATGGAGATGACCTTTAAATCCTTGAGCATTTTAGTGTCAGAATCTCAGGATGTCTTCCTTCAAACACACTTGATTGCTACTATTAGCTTCAGGGGTCTGGTTTCCTGATCCATTATTACTACAGGTAGTCCTTGACTTATGACCACAATAGGGACCAGAAACTCATCGTTAAGCGGTGCGATGTGAGGCAATGCCTCACATGACCACACCTGATTTTATTACCTTTTTTGCCATGGTCATTAAGCAAATCACTGCAATCATTAAGCGAGGCATCACGTAACAATTTCCAAAGTTCCCTGCCAGCTTCCCCATTGACTCTGCTTGTCAGAAGCCAACTGGGAAGATTGTAAATGGCAACCACATGACCGCAGGATGCTGCAACCATTGTAAATGCAGGATGGTACCAAGTGCCCAAATCATGATCATGTGACCACAGGGACACTGCGATGGTCGTAAGTCGAGGACTACCTATGCATAGCTAGGCAGCTAAGAATAGCGCCTTTTCCATGACAAAGCCCACACCCCAAAACTCCTTGTCTAGAGAAATCCACTGGCTACCTTTTCTTAGCTTTTAGGTGACCTGAAGACACATTTATTTAAAAGAAGTTTTAATCATTTAATGCCCTGCTATATATGTTTTATCACAAACATTCCTGCTTAAAATATATGTGTCCTGAACTTGAGTTCAAGTATAATTCCTAATGGAAAAACACATCATTATTAATAACAATACACCACACTTACTTATGACTCATTCTGATGTGGGGTAACCATTCAGTTCTGAAACTAAGCCAGTTTCAGAACTTAGCACGCTGCCCAAGATCACCACAGATGAAAAAGACAGCATTTGTCCCACAAGAAAGGATTCTCCTCTCTGGACGGAATCCGAAAGCGGTTACACAATTGGGTGCATGGTTTGTTTTGCCCACCAAGTCCAGTTTGTGACTTTCATTTTCTTTTCCAACTATGCAGAATGTTCAACAGCTTATCCCTCTCGCTTTGTTTGATCTCGTGAGACCACCGTTCTCACCAGATCAAAGCGGAAAGAGGGAAAGCTCTGACGGACGGACTCCTGATCTGGGATTGATATCTATTTACAGGCGAATGAGTGGAGCTTAAACAGTCCAGCAAATGGGGCAATCAACTGATCAGGACATATTGTTTCAATGGCTGGGAAATGAGAATCACCCGTGGTCAGAACAGTAACAGAACAATTAATGTCTGAATATGAGATCCACTGGACATCAAGCTGATTTTTTTCCACTGCAAGTATTTGCATGTATCAAAGCCACCTTTGCATTTCAGCTCAAGACTGCAGAAATAATCTTCACGTAAGACAACTAACATGGAAGCAGAAAACAAAAACAATCTGCTCAACTGCAGAAGTCATTCGTCCTTGCAATATTAGAGCTGTTGGCAAAGACAGAAGAAATGTTAAGGTGCCACTTCCGGTAGGGTTTCTAGGCATTCAAGATTTTTCCAGCCTCTTTTTGTTCTTTAAAATCATGGTTTTGAAAAACCCTTGCGGATCATTTGAAGCATTTCAGGATTGATCAAGCTAATGCCAGAGGGGAAGAAGAACTGCTTTGGTTTGCTGAAATGACCTCTACAAAAGAGCAATGAAATAACTTACAATACTCTACATTGATTTCCTTGGGGGCCAAAACAATTGAGGTTATAGCATTTATTTACATACCTCTAAGACTCCCAGTTTACAAAGAGAAAAAACAAGAAACTAATATGACAGTCCTGTGGGTGTTCACATGATCAAATCCCATTGAATACGAGGGTATTTAACCCCAAATAAATGAATGGAGGATTGCATCCTAAGATTTTAAATCCTTCAACATTTGACAAGTGAAAAAACAGATGTACTTGGTCCAAAATTCCTATTCCTACAGCAACAGTTAATGACTGATCTCTACCCACCCTGCTCCATATAAATGAAGTCAGTTTATTATTCTGAGTAGAAAAGTTTAGCTTTTTAAAAAAGAAAAAAATTAAATGATTAATTAAATTAAATAATTAATTAAATGACATTAAATGATAGAATCAATATTAACACCATGCTCATTCATTCATGAAGATTTTGAATGAAGATCTTAGGGAGGAGAATGACACCATATTTCTAGAATCATGTTATAAAGATTTTTATGGAAACGTATTAGGGTCAAGATGGAGCTACTTCTCACTCAGAGAGTGACTTCTGAGAGATCCAGCATCCTCCCCGAAACAGTGCTTGACCCAGAGACAGAAAGTAAATTTTTATCCTCAATAAATGAGGCCAGTTAATGTGCAATTATGTTATTACCAGGTGTGCATATTTGCAGGAAAGGGATTTTTGGAGGCAAAAGATTCCACAAAGCTGGAAAGGAGGGTCAACCTCACTCAACAACCATCTCAATCAAGTCCTTCCAACAACTATCACTTTGCAGGAGCCGCTGGCAGAAACTGCTCTACAGTCAGCTTGAAATAATGGCTGAAGCCAATGGGAAGTGGGCTCCCTCTTTTGACTTCTGCTCCCCCTCAACTCTTTCCCCTCCAGCTCATCACTTTAAGAACTTTTTAAGTAAGAATTGGTATTTTTGCTGCTTTCTTCTAGGCCCTTTTCCGATTATCTCATGTTTTCCAGACTGGGCAGCCAATCAAGGGATTTTTAAATGAGACACGCTGAGTTTTTTTTTCAGAAAAGAGTACAAATATAAAGGAAGAATGGAGAGAATATGCTCTAAACCAATGTTTCTCAACCTCATGAACGTTACGAGGCATGTACTTCACCTCCCAGGATTTCCCAACCAGCATGCTTGGGAATTCTGCGAGTTGAAGTCTATGCATAACAGTGAGGAGAATCTAAACCTTACTTTGTCTAGTGGACCTGTTACAACTAAAATAAATGGTTCTATTAACTGTTGTACTGAAAAAAGAGACCTACCTCAGAATCATCTTTAATATTATCATGTTTCCGAGTTGAAGAAATGTAAGATACTGCAGGATAAAACAAAGCAGAATCACAAAACAATCAATCAGCGTTTTTGATATAAAAATAGCAGCAAAGATATGAGACCTTACATTTAGCCAGCCAACTGGCCAATCTAACCACCTGGTGTCAAATGAACAATGGAATTTTGAAAATAGTTTAATTCTACCGTATAATTTTCCTGGGAAGGAAAATCTTTAAAACACATTTTAGTTCACTTACCCAATGTTTTTCCACAAATTATTTCTTCTTCTCCGTGGCAAATGGCCAGCTAGATATCCAAAATTAAGTCATTGGGTCACCTTAACTCTACCCCAGAAAAAGTCCTGAGCAGTGTAAAATTAACGGAATACACACAAGAGGGCATTCTGTCATGGTATTTTCCTAGGCACTTTCTAATATAGCCTGAGTAGAAAAGTTTTGCTATTCTCAGACAAAAGTCCCTGAAACATACCTATTCTTTATTGAGGCCATTATTGTTGTCGTTGTTTTTTAAATGTGCAAGTTCAATTTTCTTAATGCTCAGGGCAGCTAACAATCTAACAGTCCAAGAGAAAATCAAATCATTGAGCAGGCTTAATTTCTTTCGGACAACCAGGAGAAAGAAAGAAAGAAAGAAAGAAAGAAAGAAAGAAAGAAAGAAAGAAAGAAAGAAAGAAAGAAAGAAAGAAA